GTGCCGGCGGCCTCCCAGGACCCGGGTCAGCCCCCGGGTGCTGCGGTCGAAGGGGGTTTGTTACCCACAGCGGCTCCCCACAGAACCGCCCTCAGCGCCGCCCGGGGCCGCGGGCTCAGCCCGGGTGTCCAGCCCCGGGTCTCTGAGGGAAAAGGCCTCGCGGCCGCCGGCAGCCCAGCCTGCGCCCAGCCGCACCGGGGCTGAGGCCAGGAAACCGTGAGGCTGTCCTGGGAGCAGACGGACACCTCGGTGTGTGGTGGCGGGCAGATGGCCTCCCGCTGGGGCTGGGGGGCCTGGGGGCATGTCTCCTGCCACCTGTCTGGCCAGCCCAGGCCACCTCTCCCGGCCTTCAGGGGAGCAAATGAAGATCCAGATGCACAGAGGGATAGGCAGAGAGTGTGCCACTCTTTGGGGAAGGCTGGGGCCTACAGGGTCTGGACACTTCTCAAGCAAAGTTTGTTTTCATCCAGCAATGACAGACTTTCCTGCAGATACCTGTCATCAGAGCGAGGAAGGGACAGTGCAACAGCACTTCTCTGGGGGAAGGGAGCGATGAGGAGAATGAGGAGGAAAAGGGGAGGTTCTGCACCCTGAGAAGGCTGTACTCTGTTGCTGTGTCTGCTTTTGAAAATCAGAGAAAGCTCAGGAAACGGGCACGGACAGGAATTGAGGTTGAATGTCCTGAAGACCTCCATCTGTTCCATTTATCCAAAATGAGATGAGAGCAGGACGAGAGGTGGTGCACAAGCATGGGCACAGTGACGGCAGTCTAGGATTAACCACACAGCAGGCAGAGAGGAGGAGTTTCAGCCCAAGGACAACGTGGGGGTAAGAATGGCTAATGTCCCAGCCTGGATGTTCTCATGTAGACACTCTGGTTTGGACCCAATCTGTGTAATCAGCCTGTTCTAGGTTTTCTTGTTGCCAGTCAGCATTTCTTAGGATCCATCCCACTTTTACAACCTCATTCTAATGTGCTGGAGAACTGTGCGTTCCGTCGCTCCCTGTTCTCCACTGTTCAGGCTGTCCTCGTAGCCCCTGCCCTTCTCCTGCCTGAAGGAGCATGGAGCATCCAGCCCCTGCCTCCTGACAGCCCAGCCCCTGGCACAGGAGAATGCTGGGGCTGCTGCTGCTGATGTGCGCTGCCATCAATTATTCAGGGCCCAGAGGCAGAGCGAGGAGGCTGGTGCTGCAGCAGGAGGCAAAACTGCTGCATAATTCATAGAGCCCACTTTGCTCCTAGGGCATGGCAGTGCCCGCTGAGCAGGGCCTGGCCGCAGGGATCGGGATGCAGGGGGCTGGCAGCGCCCCACTGAAGGGACAACGGCTGGGGCTCTGCGCTCGGGGGTGGCCACTGCACCGGGACAGTATTTCAGAGACCAGACAAGGAGCAGGGCGGGAGGCATGGGGCCGTCTGCGCTGTGTGTGGGTACCCGGGCCGCAGGAGCCCGGGCAGGGCACGGCCCGGCTGCCCCAACCTGCATGGGTGCCAGCGGGCACGGGCAGGACGCGCGGGTGGATGGTGTCCAGGCGGCCGGAGAGGCCCCAGTGGCGGCGGCGCTGCGGGAACGCAGGCAGGGAGGCGGCTGTGGGCCTGGCCCGGGAACGGGCAGGGCTGGCTGACAGGCTGCGTCCCTGCCAGCGACTGAGGAGAGAGCGGGGTGTGAAGGGGCTGTATGTTAGCGGGGGTGCAACGCTCTCCTCTGCGCGTGCAGGCACGCACAGATGTGCCTCTGTGTGTGTCTGCACATGTGTACGTGTGCATAGACACGTGTGTGTGCATGCATGGACTGGGGAGTCTGCACGAGCCCCCGTGGGAGGCGCATCCCACGTGTGGCTGTTCATGGGTGCGTGCTGCCGGCACGCGGGTGGGCGCACAGTGGGTGCCCGTGCAGGTGTGCATGTGGGAATGCACCCACACACGTGTGTGCCGCAGGGTGTGCCTGGGTGTGTACGTTGGGGGGGGGGCTGCATACCCTGCGTGGGGGTGTGCGCTGGCTGGTGGTGCGTCCGCTCGCGCCCTGAGGGTGTGTGAACACCGTGCGTTGTGCTCTGCGTCCCAGTCATGTGTTTTGGGGTTCGGGTGTGTGCATGCTCCGGGTGTGCGTCGCACCTTCTGTTTGTGTGTGTGCACTCCGCTCATGTGCCTGCTAGAGAATTTCTCTGTGCAGAAGAGCTGGAGCTGAACTGGGAGGACTCTCATTCCCGGGAGGTTTCTCCCATCTCAGTCCAAGGGATGTGGCTGCTGTTCCCATGCACAGGTACTACAGACTGGTTTGTCTTCCAAAGAGCCAGAGCACATTCTGGAACACACACACATCCTTCTTGGGCATGAATGGCAACACAGATCAACAGAGAGCGAGCAGTACCTTCCCCAGCACTCAACACAAAGAGCACAACCCAGCCCTTGTCTTCCTCTCCAGCAGATTGGGACTGGTGTTCAGCCCTGAAACACACACACATCACTCCCTCAATTCGCAAGCTCAGCGTTTTCATGGTCCCTTCAATATTAGCATGGGAATTAAGTTCAATTAAATCCATGGCTGGATGTCGAGCTAGTTACCCAGTAATTGGCACAGACCTTGGGTCTTCCCAGATCTGTATCTCCTCTGCTCGTTAGCTAGTCCAGCTTCAAGTTCCCCCGTGACCCGCACTCGCACGCAGCGCTCCCGCCCGTCGCTGGCCCTAGACACGGGCAGTCTCCAATGGCCGGGTCCCTCAGTGTTCCCTTCTGCTGCTGCTAGCAGCCAGGCCTCTGCACCCATGTCCCCGCCGCCTACAGAGTGGGGCCATGCAGAAAGGATTTGGAATTGCTCTCAAAAAGAGGGTAGGACAGACTGTGGTGATTCAGTGAAGGCTCTGTCAAACTAGCAAACCAATCAGATGTTTGCTTAGGTGTGACTGGCTCCTTTATCGCTCCTCCTTCCCATTTTCCATGCTTATACATTTCTGTCATCTTCCTTGACTCCTCCCTTTCTCCACCCCCATCTCCTCCCAGTTATTTCCTCCCCCTTGCTCCCAGGTTTGCTCCATCTGTGAACAGATTCGGGGTTTCAGGTGCTGTTAGCTAGCTGATGTGGTTTCCTGGGTACTGCTGTCCCTGCCAGATTCCTCTCCCCGAAATGACCCCAACTCTTTTTTCAATTATCTCTGAAGTGCAGCCACCTCTCACATAATTCCCCCTTAGCTACCCATGAGATCTGCTCTTCCTCACGGCACTGTGACTCCTGTCAGCTTCTCACTCTTCGCTATGGTCAGCAGTTTCTCTTGTCTTGCTCAGGAGTTTCCCACGGTCTGTTCAGTGAGGTACGGCTTATGCCAGGCCTTAATCATCAGCTCCTGTGCCTTCATGCACACCCCAGAGTTGTCTGCATGTCACATCAGTTTTTCCTCTCCTCTCTAGCTCCGATTTGCCAGTCTTCTCCATCCCATGGTGGCTCTGAGCACCCTTCTCTTGGCTTCAGCCCTTTGGAGGAACTCTTTCCCTTTGTGCCCTACGTGGCTGCCTGCAGCCTCATTTTGCAGGTGGCAGAAATGGAAGTCCCGGCCTTGCACAGGAGACTGAATTGGACTGCAGCATGGTTAGCTGTGAAACTTGGCAACTTTATTTCAAGAACTAAGTCAACTTGAGCATTTGTGATCGCTCAGAGGAGCGTGGGCAGGATGGAGCAGGCCTCTGGCACTGAGGCTGCCTTTGGGTCCGCAGGCAGTGAGTGTCCCAGCAGGAGGGTAAAGAATTGCAGCAGCTTCTGGAGTGGAAAGGGGCAGGAGCTAAACCTGCCCGGCTGTGCTGGTGTTGGACTGGGCCTCTGAAAGGGAGTTGAGGTGGTGAGAAAAGGCCTCCATGCCTGTGATGTTGGAGCAGCCCTTGCTGCTGAGTGAAGTCCCATCTGTTCCAAGATCCAGTTGTAAAAGTGCTGAGTGGAGATGTAGACTCTGGGCCGTTTTGCTCTGGCGCAGCCTCTCCCCCAGCTGTTCACCCCCCAAGCAGCCAGAAGTAGTCAGCACTCTTCAAGAGGACCACCGCTGTCCCCCTGCAGCGGAGGAAAGAGGGTCACGGTGGTGTCGTGTGGCCGCTGGCAGCACTAGGGCTGGCTCCTTCTCTCTGCCAGCACCCCCAGAGCTGTGTCCGCGGCACAGAGGCTCTGCTCAGGTGCTGGGGCCGACAGGACCCTGTCTGGGGGGGAGGGGGCCCGTGGGGTAGGGCTGCCGCTCATCTCTGCATGGCAGCACTGGCTGGGTGCAAGAGGGATGTTCCAGGGCTGGGAGCTGGACCTTGGCACTGCCAGGAGCACTGGGTGGGCTTTTTGGTCAGAGTCCTGGGCCTCTGGGCCAAGTGGGGCCCCGGGGCAAGGAGCTGCCGCTGGGCAAGGGGCGGTGAGCCCCGCCAGCGGTGGGGGCCCAGCGGTGGGAGGGCGACTGGCCCAGCAAAGCCTGCGCCAGGGGGTGTCTGGGCAGCTGTAGTGGGCTGCCGGTGCCGCTGTGCGCTGCCCTGTCACGAGCTCCTCCCTGGCAGGTGTCAATGCGGCCCTGCGGGGAGCCAGCGCACAGGTTGTGGGGGTGGACGGCTCCGCCTGCTGTTGCAGAGGTTGAGGTTGATGAGGCAGACCCAGGCCTCCCGCAGGACATCCATTGGTCCTGCGGCTGCGAGCACAGAAAGGAATTAATACCCGGCAGCTCATTGCCCGATCTCCTGCCCTGTCTGGGTGAGCCCATTCCCTGGGGTTTGGCTTTGCATCGCGACAGGCACCGTACTGGCGATTCCCTTCTGTCTGGCCGTGGGCCCTGGGCCAGGCCCATCTCTCTATGGACACACGTACCGGCAGCCGGGCTCTGGCTCTCGCCTTTGCTGTAGGAAGCCCAGCCCGCCTCCCCCCAGTGCTGAGCTCACACTCGGGATGTGAGCACTCTTTGGGAGCTCACATGTGACCATCGTGGCCCCTC